TTTGGCCACCTGCTCCTTCAGCCTGCAGCACGCAGACGGACCCTCTGCGCTTGTCTGCACCCGACCCTTGGCCGCCACTGGGCGCAATCTTGTAAATCTTTCTGTTGTTGTAGATCTCGTATTAAATCTCTTTCTAAAAAAAAAAAAAAATCTCCTTCTCTAGCAAGCACTGTATGTGCCTGACACATGTACTCTACAAACATTCAAGTCCCAAAAGGGCACCTGTGGCCACAGGGTGGCACACCTGCAATGCCAGCACTCCAGAGGCAGAAGCAGGATTGTCTTGAGTTTGAGGCCAGCTAAATTACATAGTAAGAACTTCTCTAAAAACAAAAAAAAATAAGAGAGACAGAATTTGTCATCTGAATGTTCAGGGTCCAGAACACACGCTTTCACAGAGACAATGCTATGAATGGTGTCCATATTTCCAGATTACCACACATTAAACAACAAGTTAGCCCATAAATTAGGCAGCATGCTGTACATTAGCAATTCAGTAACAACAAAAGGAACTGGTATTATGGGTCTGTCCCTTTCTCTGAGTAAGCTGAATAGCATTGTGGATGAACTGTTTTAGGACAGGGTTGTTGGTGTGAACCCCGCAGGCATCTCCTGAGCCTGAATCAGAAACTTGTTGGGCACTAAGAGACAGGAGAGCCTGGGCCCAGGTCACCAGGCCCTGAGCATGGGTCTGAACAGCTGAGCAGCCATGGGTCTGAGGGGCCCCTGGTGTCTGGCTGGAGGCTCCCAACACTCAGCCGGGGGCCCCACACCAGGTCCTGGGCCAGCCCTGCATAGAAATCCCCACAGCAACATTTGCTGATGTAGCCCACACCATCCCCTCTCATTGCCAGGGGTGAGGACCAGCCAGCTATCCCGGCCTCCTCTGGGACCTGTTCCCATCCACCAAGCAGGGGCACAAGGCTCTGGGCTGCAGGGTGTGGCAGGAGGTGGCAGCTTAGCTGACAGCCACCCACCCTTTCCCACCAGGCAGCTTTGATGGCGTCTAGGTTAGTGGTCCTCACATTGCAGCCACAAAGGACAACAGTGAAACAAACCCCAGTGTGACTGAGACAGCCTTGGGGTACACGACCCCAGATTGGCCAGTTCCTGCCTCAGAGAACTTCAGAGATTTCCACACAGCAAAGGAGGAGCACTCATGTCCTCTGAACCCAAAACAGCCACTCTGCAGCGCATCTGTGCCTATGGCTTAAATGTCATTTGTCCCACGCACTGGAGCATCACCTGTGCCCCTCATTAGATGGTGAAGAAGCTACCACACAGATGGCCAGGTGACTGGGCTACCAGAGAGAAAATGGGGATGCCACGGTTCATCGGGGTCTCTCCGGGGCTCATTAAGGCAAAAGGGAAAGGGTAACCTGCCCCCTCTTGATGGGAAAGCGCAGAAGGTTGGCAGAGTGAGAGCAGGCTGTTATGGGCAACCAACTCACTCACTAGAGTGGGCAAGCCTGCATCTGGGCGTTGGGGCCCTGGGCCGCAATAACTGCAGTGCACACGCCTGTGGCCCCAGGACTCGGGAAAGCACTCACCCAGCCACGGGGAGCAAAAACTAACCATAATACAGCAATACAAGGACCTACCAGCCCCATGCAGGAGAGCTCAGGAGTAGCTAGGTAAGGCCTGAGGGCCTGTAGGTGCCTGGTCTGGCTGCTTTAGCAAGATGATAAAGGACTAGAGAGGAGTACAGGCACACACCTACACCACCAGCTACTCAGGAGGCTGAGGCAAGGGGACTGCAGGCTGGAGCCCAGGCTGGACCAGTCAGCAAAGCGTTGACTCGAGGTAAAAAGGGGCTAGATGTGTATGTAGCTGAGAGCTCCCCAAATTCAATCCCGAGTAACACACACACACACACACACACACACACACACACACACACTGGGCTTCAAAGACTAGATACCTGCTTTTCTTTTTGCTTCCTTTTCGTTCGCCCCTCCTCCTTTGCCTTAATCCTCCCCCCGCCCCCGTTGTTTCTGAGACTTTGGTAGCAAAGCACCCTGGGAAATCTCAGTGAGCCCTTAGTCAGCCACCCTTTCTTTGAAAAAATTTACATCTCGTTGAGCCACAAGGGGGCGCAAGCTTCAGGTCGCCACACCTCTGGGCTCACCACCATCCAGGCAGCTCGAGGCAAAGCCTTCCTCTCTGTCCCTGGGCATGACTTCCTCCAGCCACTTCCCAGAGTCTCCAAACTGGAATAAGTGCGGGGTTTCAGGGGAGTCTGCCCAAACCGTTTCTAACCTGTGTCCTATACAAATGCAGCTTTTCAGAGATCAACAAACTAGCAAGAGTCTAGACATCGGAAACACAGTTGCTCAAGTTATGAGGGGTGGCTGGGGCGATAGCTCAGCAGCACAGCGCCCACCTGGCAAGGGCAAGGTCCTGAGTTCCATTCCCAGTATGCCCCCCAAAAGTCACGGGGGGAAAAAAAAAAGCAAAAAACACCAGGATTTAACCTCTAGCCCTGCCCCACCCTGTATAAGACTCAAGCTGAACAGCTGAGACAGCACCTGTAGGGGAGCGGCACATCCAGAAAGGACACTGGGACCTGGCAGCCTCACTGGAAGCTGCGGGAAGGGCAGGAGCCAGGGCCAACAGACAAACACAGCCCTGCACACAGGGATGGTGGTAAGGGACTACTCACACCTTCCAAAGCCTCTGCAGACTTGCATGCCTCGCCCTGGACTTCGGTTACACCCTTGATTTGCAATGTGGGTTTTAAAGAAAACTATTCCACCATGCTTTGCTTAAATCTTCTGGAAAAGAGCGGGCTAGGGAGCTAGGACAGTTTGCAGTTTGGCTGCCAGAATGTCAATACAGCCAGCCTTCCCTGCTGCTGGATGGAGGTCATGCTCCACAGTGACAGGGAGAGGGAGGAACCCACGACCACGGTGCGCAGGATACACGCAGGCAGCCTCTGTCCTCACACTCCTTCACGCGTTCATTCACTCATTAAAAGCCTTGAGTGCAGCCCAGCCCTAGGTCCTAGGCCCTGAGGCTTTACACGGACCATTCAAGGACAGACACCTCAGGGGCCCTCACCTGCTCCACCCAGGAGCTGAGAAAAGCCCGGTCACAGGAATAAGGTGTTAGCGCAACAGGTGGCTTGTAGGTGTGTGTGAGTACAAGTATTGTAGCACAGGGGCTTTTTGAAAACTGCTGGGTATCCCTTGTTACCCCCTTTCGTCCTTTCTCTTCCTCCCTAATCTTTTAATTTTTATTCCTTTTTGCCTGGATAATTAAGATGTTAACATGTTAACAAACTTTTTTTTTTTTTTTTTTTTTTAGGACAGGACTAGGGATTGAACCCAAGGCCTTATCACTGAGCTACATCCTCAACCCTTTTTTCATTTAAAAAGTATTATTGTAGGGCTGGCCAAATAGGTCAGTGG